GGCGGGGCCAGGAGCTTGGACTCGACCCCTGCAACCTCAACTAGGTGAACTAGGTGAGTACACACACACACACACACACACACACACACACACACACACACACACACACACACACACACACACACACACACACACACACACACACACACAGGTCTGGTGGACGAACCCGGGAGAGAAGAACCTGGGAGGAAAGATGGGGAGGTAGAGCTCAAAAAATGGAGGAAGAGTGGGGAAGGAAGCTAGCAGAGCTTGGCAGGAGAATGGAGGAGAGGACAGCTGAGGAGAGCAGGAAGTGGAGACTACAAGTCTTAGCAGCAGAAGATAGGATAAAGGACGTAGATGAGGAACTAAGAAACCTGAAACAGATTAGAGACAAATGACAGTACAGACATGACATCAGGAACATCTATACTAGTCACAGACAAGGGGACTATAGGGATCCAGGAAAAGATGTGCACAATTGAGAGACCTGTAGACAATGAAGGAGCTATGACACATGCAGAGACTCCAACAAACAAATGCAGTGGCAAGGAACAGGTGAGCAGGAAAGACAGTCCACTGAGCATAGGAGCTACAGCAAGGGCAGGGAATGAAGGCACGAACGCTTCGATGGAACTAAAACACTTCAGAGGATACAAAAGGAGACACAGTGGGAGGAGGAGAGGGAAAGGTCAGTGTTTGTCTACGGGCTCTGAGAAGTCGAAGGGGAAACCTACAATGAAAGAAACCAGGAGGAGAAGAAAGAGATCGAAGGTATCATGAAAGCAATAGGTGAGTGAGACACGACCCAGGTGACAAATTTTCGGAGAATTGGGTGGTTTGTGAATGGAAGGAAAGGGCCGGTCAAAGTAATCTTCAAGGCAGAATCAGCTCGAACCAGGATCCTGCAGGAGAAAGCACGACTGAGGGACAAACCAGAGTACCAGAGTGTGTACCTCGATCACGACAGAACACAAGAAGGAAGGACGATACTGAGAGGGTGCAAAGACAAAAGGAGGAACGAGATGCATTGATGAAGATGAGCAGAACCCAGACTCAGGTGGAAGGGCAAACACACCTTACAGAAACACCCGCAGAAGGACTCCAACTGCGACAACCGCAAAATAACTGACCAATCTAAACCAAAACCCACACACTGTTCCCTCTGCCCCCACCCCCTACATCACAAACCCCACCCCTACAGCAGCCCCCTATGGGCACTCTGCCCCTACCCCCCATCACAAACCCCACCCCAACTGCGACAACGGCAATGCAACTGAAAAGTCTAAGCCAAAACCCACACACTGTTCAATCTCCACCACCCCCACATTACAAACCCCACTCCTACAGCAGGTCCCCAAGGGCACTCTGCCCTCACCCCCCCATCACAAACCCCTCCCACACTGCAAATCCCCATATGCCCCCTCCAGGGCTCTCGCTCCCCCAATCCCAAAATTTTCCCAGGACCACCGTGATAGATAAGAAGTTGCAAGTGTGGTACACGAACGCAGATGGATTAACAAATAAATACAAGGAGTGGCATGAAAGAATCATTGAGAAGTCCCCAGACATCATAGCCGTCACAGAAATGAAACTCACTGAGACAATAACAGACGCAGTCTTCCCACCGGGATATCAGACCCTGAGGAAAGACAGAAGGAGCAGAAGGGGAGGAGGGGTTGCACTACCCATAAAAAACCGATGGGGTTTTGAGGAAATGGAAGGCATGGGCGAGACTGGAGAAAGGGACTACATAGTAGCTACAATTCAGTCTGGGGAACATAAGGTAGTCATTGCAGTGATGTATAACCCAGCACAGAACTGCAGGAGGCCAAGAGAGGAATATGAAGAGAACAACAGAGCAATGGTGGACACACTGGCTGAGGTGGTACAAAGAGCTCAATCATGCAGAGCAAAGTTACTGGTTATGGGAGATTGACTGGGAAAGCCTGGAGCCTCACGGGGGTCCTGACACATGGAGGGCCAAGATGATGGATGTGGTACTGGAAAACCTCATGCATCAACACGTCAGGGACACTACCAGAGAGAGAGGGGAGGATGAACCAGCAACACTGGACCTTGTGTTCACCCTGAGCAGTTCAGACATTGAGGACATCACATATGAGAGGCCCCTTGGAGCTAGCGATCAGTGTGGTTCTGAGTTTTGATTACATAGTAGAGCTGCAAGTGGAGAGGGTAACAGGAGTCGATTGGAAAAAGTGAAACTATGAAAGGGGGAATACATTGGTATGAGGAACTTCCTGTGGGAGGTTCAGTGGGACAGAGAACTGGTAGGAAAGTCAGTAAAAGAAATTATGGAATATGTAACAACAAAATGCAAGGAGGCAGAGGAAAGGTTTGTTCCCAAGGGCAACAGAATTAATGGGAAGACCAAAGTGAGTCCTTGGTTTACCCGAAGGTGTAGGGAGGCAAAAACTAAGTCCATTAGAGAATGGAAAAAGTACAGAAGGCAAAGGACCCAGGAAAATAAGATCAGTCCAAGAGCCAGAAACGAGTATGCACAGATAAGGAGGGAGGCCCAGCGACAGTATGAAAATGACATAGCATCAAAAGTCAAGTCTGACTCGAAACTGCTGTATAGTCACATTAGGAGAAAGACAACAGTCAAAGACCAGGTGATCGGGCTATGGAAAGAAAGTGGGGAACTCACACGAAACAATCAAAAGGTATGCGAGGAGCTCAACAAGAGATTTAAGGAAGTATTCACAGTGCAGACAGGAAGGACTCTGGGAAGACAGGACAGAGGGAGACACCAACAGGGAATACACCAACAAGTGCTGGATGACATACACACAACTGAGGAGGAGATGAAGAAGCTGCTAAGTGACCTTGATACCTCAAAGGCAATGGGACCGGACAACATCTCCCCGTGGGTGCTTAGAGAGGGAGCAGAAATGCTGTGTGTCCCATAAACCACAATCTTCAACACATCCCTTAAAACTGGGCAACTACCTGAGGTATGGAAGACGGCAAATGTAGTTCCCATTTTTAAAAAAGGAGACAGAAAAGAGGCGCTAAACTATAGACCAGTGTCACTGACGTGTTTAGTATGCAGAGTCATGGAGAAGATTATCAGGAGGAGAGTGGTGGAGCACTTGGAATGGACCAAAAGTATAAATGACAACCAGCACGGTTTCATGGAAGGCAAATCCTGTGTCACAAATCTTCTGGAGTTTTATGATAAAGTAACAAGTAAGAGATGAGAGAGAGAGGTGGGTTGATTGCATCTTCTTGGACTGCAAGAAGACCTTCAACACAGATCCTCACAAGAGGTTAGTGCAGAAACTAGAGGATCAGGCACGTATAACGGGAAGGGCACTTCAATGTATCAGAGAATACCTGACAACGAGGCAACAACGAGTCATTGTACATGATGAGGTATCACAGTGGGCACCTGTGACGAGCGGGGTCCCACAGGGGTCGGTCCTAGGACCAGTGCTATTTTTGGTATATGTGAATGACATGATGGAAGATATAGACTCAGAGGTGTCCCTGTTTGCAGATGATGTGAAATTAATGAGGAGAATTAAATCAGATGAGGATCACGCAGGCCTTCAAAGAGACCTGGACAGGCTGGATACATGGTCCAGCAACTGGCTTCTCGAATTCAACCCTGCCAAATGCAAAGTCATGAAGATCGGAGAAGGGCAAAGAAGACTGCAGACAGAGTAAAGGCTAGGTGGCCAATGACTGCAATCCTCACTCAAGGAGAAAGATCTTGGCATGAGTATAACACTGAACACATCTCCAGAAGCACACATCAACCATATAACTGCTGCAGCATATGGGCGCCTGGCAAACCTGAGATTAGCATTCCGATACCTAAGTAAGGAATCTTTCAAGACACCATACACCGTGTACGTCAGGCCCATACTGGAGTATGCAACACCAGTTTGGAACGCACACCAGGTCAAGCACATTAAGAAATTAGAGAAAGTGCAAAGGTTTGCGACAAGGTTAGTTCCAGAGCTAAGGGGAATGTCCTATGAAGAAAGGTTGAGGGAAATCGGCCTGACGACACTGGAGGACAGGAGGGACAGGGGAGACATGATAATGACATACAAAATACTGCATGGAATAGACAAGGTGGACAGAGACAAGATGTTCCAGAGAGGGGACACAGAAACAAGGGGTCACTCTCGGAAGTTAAAGTCTCAGATGAGCCACAGGGATGTTAGGAAGCATTTCTTCAGTCATAGAGTGGTCAGGAAGTGGAACAGTCTGGAGAGCGATGTAGTGGAGGCAGGAACCATACATAACTTTAAGACAAGGTATGATAAAGCTCATGGAGAGAGAGAGGACCTAGTAGCGTTCAGTGAAGAGGCGGGGCCAGGAGCTGAGTCTCGACCCCTGCAACTACAATTAGGTGAGTACACACACTAAAATTACATCAAAATATTTACTGGTTTCAGGCAAGACCTCTTTTAAATTTAAAACAAAAAATAGAAATCACAATACCATGGCTGAAACAATTCACCAAAAACTCACACTTAAGAGAGGAACCTTGTGATGACATTTCAGTCTGTCCTGGACCAAAGTCACAACTGGGATGAGATAAGTAGAAAAGGCCTTAAAGCTGCCCCCTATCATATTGTCTTCAGGATTTCTCTACTTTTCTCACCCCAGTTGTGATTTTACAAAGGCCCAGGATGGACTAAAACATCATCATAAGGTTCCTTTCCTAGGTGCGGATTTTTAGGAAAATGAGTAAGATTTAACCCGTAAACGGTCCAAGCAGATCTACGTTCACATGTGTAGTGCTACAAAAGTAGATCTTAAGTTTTTTTTACATATTTTCAAATATAACAAAAAAAAAAGTAGATCAAAGTTTTTTACACATTTTCAAATGTAGAAAAACAAAATGAAGATCTACTTTTTTTACATACTTTCAAATGTTGAAAAAACGTATATATACGTTTGGACCGTTTATGGGTTAAATTACCACACATGTATTGTAAATGAAATATATGGTAAGCCTAAACTTTATGGCCTGCAGGTACCTTAAATTGAGCAAATCCTTGAGCTGTTTTGCTACTTCTTCTTCACTGACATCAACAGACACCAACTCATGGAATATGGCTTTTGATTCTGATACATTAACTTGTTTAGCAGTCTGAAAAAGAAAATACTGTATCCATACCAATAAAAACTGACAATTTACTGTTAAAAAATGAAGCAAAAATTTAGCTTAAAATACCTATAGTACATCCAAAATATATAGATATATTGTATAGTGCAAGCACTCAAAGAATGGGAGGGGATGATCCAGTTTATTAGGTCATTCAATTTTTCTTGTTTACCCTCATTTCGAAGTTTAGCCACTTCTAAAGAACGTATAGGAATAGGATGCAACCCAAATCAGGTGGCTAATACCCAGGTACCTATTTACTGCTAGGTGAACAGGAGTAACAGTTGAAAGGAAACATGTCCAATATATCCACCTGCTCCAGGATCAAACCCAGGACCTTCAGTTATGCAATTCTGGCAACACAGATACTGAATAAGTAATAGTGAATGTGTCTCCTTATTTGTATCACCCTACCTTCAAATCAAATAAAAAATAAAAATCAAAATGTTATTTCTTTGCTAAGGTTACAATATGTATTTACATTTCATAATCTGACTGGGACAAAGAAAGCCACTATCATGCTGAGGCATTTCGGGCAGACTTAACCTAATATGTACTTAGACTACTTGTGTCTAGACAGGTGAAGAGTGGTAGATACAAATACACGTATTCAATATTTTACTCTATTAATATGAGGTAGTACAATTTATGATACAAACATATATTTTTAAGTTTGTAATTAAGTTTGTTTATTATTAATATGAGGTAGTACAATTAACCCTTTCAGGGTCCAGAGGCCAAATTTCAAAGTGCGCACCAGTGTCCAAGAATTAATAAAAAATAATTTTGTTATTTTTTTATGAAATGGTAGAGAATCTTTTTCTGAAGGTAATAAAACAAAAAGTACGAAATTTGATGGAAAATTGACGAAATTATGCTCTCACGAATTTTGGTGTGTCAGCGATATTTATACATCGGCGATTTTGCCGACTTTGACTCGCATTTTAGATCAATTACCTTATTCCAGTCGATCAAATTTTTAGCTATTTCACTAGTATTACTTTTATTCTATCGATTGAGCACAAGAAATTGCCAACTCAACTGTTTCAACTACAAAATAAAGTGATTGGAAATTGGTAATTTGGCCAATTTAGTGCAAAGTTCAAAATATTCCAGTTTCAAAATAGGGTCCAGAATAAACAATGCAGACATTCCTGGCACTAAACTAACATTTCCTCTGTGCATTTGTTACGTTCTCAGGCTATACAAATGAATTCCATTTTGATTTATTATTCACATAATGAATTTTTATTCAAACCAAAAAGTAGATTTACTGTCATGCAATATTGTAATTGAATAAACAATATCAGCACATTTGTGAACATATATTAGACCCACCAGCTGGCATGTATTAGATGTGTGAGGTCATTTGTTTACTCTTGAACATCGGCTAATTTGAGCTCAGTTTCAAGCCATTTTCAGTACTAAAACCAATCAAAATCATCTCTATTTCTGTAATATATTTTCCATTCTATCAAATGAGACCAAGAAATCGCAAATACAACTATAAAAAACATACGAAAAACACTGCAAAATTGCCGTTTTAATAAAAAATTATGGTCTGTTTTTTCTCTCTCATTATGCACTGCGTGCTGCAGGATTTGTTTTATGTGGTGCACACATACAACACAGATGTATTCTCTCATATCTAGGCCCAAATTTACAGCTCACAGCTTATCAGAGTGAGCTGAGCTCATGGCGTAGATCTACGGTTTGGACCCTCAATGTAAAGCCGTAGATCTACGGCACGGACCCTGAAAGAGTTAATGATACACACATACATTTTAAAGTTTGTATTTTTTTTATTAACACATTGACCGTTTCCCACCAAGGTAGGGTGGCCCAAAAAAGAAAAACTTTCACCATCATTCACTGCATCACTGCCTTGCCAAAAGCACGCTTACACTACAGTTAAAAAACTGCAACATTAAGGTGATTGGCCATGGTTCCCCAAGCACAAATACCATAGATGAGGTAAGGGTATATTAGAGAGTGATATAAAGTAAGGAGTGCAATTTGGGAAACATAGTATCGTATCTTGGAAAGGATGCCTACTGTTTTGGAAACTTTCTTAGTTATATGCTGGATGTGGGTCTGAAATTAATAAGCAAGTGATATTTTTTACCTCAACCACATATCACAAAGGTTGGGTAACATAAAAAACTGAAACACATTCATCATTACTCATTTGTACTTGAACTCAGAGAGTGCATGTTGTCTATGTTCTTTGTTGACATTGTTGACATTGTGCCATCTTTAACTTCTATGTCAAGTTGCATCTTGCCCTACCCCACAATTGACCTGTGTACCATGCCTCTGTGCCATACACTGAAATTCAAATGTCATGTCAAGGCAACATCTCCATCTATCCTTCAGTAATACTGCTTTTCCTTATAAACATACTGTACTCTACAAGGAGTCATGTACAATTCTTCAACAAAAAATTGGGAAAAATGTCTTTAAGTACATTATCTCACAAACAGAAACACACAGAGAAGATAGTAAATAAATGGACATACAGTATACAGTCTTGCAAATTGGTGATAATTCTTATATCTCTATTCCCACATCAACAAAATGAATCAAAAGATGTAATAACAAAAATAGTCTACAATTATGTCACTTAGTGTTACAATTTCAGTAATTAAACATGCTACAACTTCAAGGTAAAGTCACAGTGGAGATCCTCAATCAGTCACAGAGTAGATATGTAAATACAAAACAATTAAAATAGAGGGCCAAGATAAAAGATCACATAAAAGCAAAACTTTCTGATACAGCAAAATACATGTACTGTATACACTGTACATTAATCTCATTTTTATTAGGAATTCTGTTTTATGGAAATGTTTTAGAATAAAAAGTACATTGATCATCAGAAATTCAGTAGTAAATATGGAATTTATTATCTAACATTAAGGAAAAAAATTAATGTACTGTATTGTACAGTACAGTTAGCCTACTTTTGTACATACAAACTACAGAATTATAAACTGCAAATTTAAATAATTATTGGAGAGATTATAGCACAACATGACTATACCTGTCTTTTAATCTTTGAAGATGTATTGGGCGAGTCTAATTTGTTTTTTACGAGTAGCGATAAATTTGGCTTCTCTTGTCGAGCATTTAACAAAGCCTCACCAACACGAAGGGTTGAATGAATTTCTGGAGCTCCATAAATATTTGAGGCACTCTCTGGCAATGAAGCCATCTGAATGCCACCCAGTTTTCTCTTGTCTCTTCTGTCACAACAGGCAATGTTTTTCTTTTGGGCAGCAAGAGCTTTTAATTCCTGACTAATTTTTGGAACAACTGGGAAGCTTCTCATTTCAGTGTTTGCTAATACAATGGGCTGATCATTTGTTCGCTTCTGCAGTGCTTCCAATCTTGGGAGAGCTTCATCTGTAATATTTTCGTTGTTGGCATCCACCTCTGCATAAATGTGTCTTTCCCCTCCTTTTACAATCTTCATATTTCTTTTCTTGCTTCTGTCCATTTAAAATGGATGCACTCAATTTCTTCTTGAACTGGATGATTCACAGTATCTAACAGGAATAAATGAGTTATTTGAGACATGAAACACACTAAATCCCGCTTCACATTTACTGCTCATCCGAGAATTCAGTTTTAACTAAAGAAGGGCAAACTATACAAAGCTTACAATTATATCAAAGGATCCAATCAGAGCTGATGAGATTTAACATTTTAATACAAGGTCTGGCAAAAAAAAAAAACATGTACAGTAGATCATTGATTAAGATGTGATCTTTCAAGATGTTTTCACTGCATATACAGTGGAACCTCAAATTTTGAATGTATCGCTTATTGAACTCTTCAAAAATCAACCGCTTTTTTTGAGCCAACTTTGTCCCTATTATCGAACTCGCCCCTTCTTTCGAACTGCCTGGTACCGGACCTGTCCGCCAGCCCACTCTGTCCGCGTCCCCACGCAGGCACCGTGAGCCAGTCTAGCTTTGTTGATGCTTGAGTGAACACTAACCTGCGGTCTCATTCAAACATTTTACGATTAATTCATTGTGTTTAGTGCTTGTGGGACTGTGAAATAAGCTACCATGGGCCCAAAGAAACTTGCTAGTGATACCCCTGTGGTAAAGAAAGTGAGAAACACCATAGATGTGAAGAAGGAAATAATACAGAAGTATGAGAGTGGTGTGCGACTTGTTGAGCTTGCCAGGATGTATGGGAAAAACAAGTCGACCATCGCTTCTATCCTGGCAAAGAAAGAACAGATCAAGGAAGCTGATGTCGCTAACCAAAAAAAGACCATAGACAATCGATCAGGTTGAGAAATTGTTGCTGGTGTGGATCAAGGATAGAGAGATGGCAGGTGATAGTGTTTCAGAAACGATTATTTGTGAAAAGGCAAGGAAGTTGCATGCCAATTCAAAGATTAAGGAGATTTGTACCAAGTGGAATGATGTCCAAATCTTTGTGGAGAAGTACCACCCTGAGCAAGCTGAAACAAGCCATCTTTGCAACAAGTTCTGTGACAGAACCATGTCCCATTTTTGGAAAATCTTAAAGTGGCACCAGAAACAGAGGACTGTGGACGGTTATTTTGTGAGACAGGGGTCCAGTGACTCTCAAGCTGGTCCTTGTGGCATTAAAAGACAGAGAAGGAAAGTAACCCCAAAAAGGACTTTGATACCTAAAGTCCTTATGGAAGGGGATTCCCCTTCCAAACACTAACCCCAACTCCCTCTCTCCTCCTCCCTATCTTCCAGATGCCATCACCAATCTTCAATAAAGGTAAGTAAAAATGTTATTTATATGTTTATTTAAATTTATTAATAATGGTACACTATATTTGTTGTGTGTATGTAAAACTATAATGTAATACTATCTATAAAATGTATTTTTTTGTAAATATTTTTGGGTTTCTGGAACAGATTAATTGTATTTCCATTATTTCTTATGGGAAATATTGCTTCACCTTTCAAACTTTTCAACTTTAGAACTAGCTCCTGGAATGGATTAAGTTCAAAATTTGAGGTTCCACTGTGTATCATGGTTGAAGAACTGCGGGAGTTTTTCAATCATGATGCCATGATGACAGTGTAACTATTGGGAAAAATAGCTAAAAGTCCATACAAGAAGGCTAGTAACTTATTTCACTGCAACTGTACAATGCTGTGCCAATAACCCTATGACTGTCATGCAGAACTACATCATTGACACCAGGGTCCATCACGTAGATCTATGGCACGAACTCAGCTAACTCAGAGCTGTAAGTAGTAAATTTTGGCCTAGATATGACAAGAAAAGCAAAACTCTGACCTTGTGTTTAGTTTAACCCTTTCAGGGTCGAGAGGCCCTCTCCTAAACTCGTTCTCAGGGTTGAAAATTTTTCGGAAAAACAAATATTTTTTCTTATGAAATGATGGAGAATCTTTTCCCAATCATAATGACACCAAAAGTATGAAATTTGATGGAAAACTTACGGAATTATGCTCTCGCGGAGTTAGCGGTCTCGACGATGTTTACGCACCGGCAATTTTGCCCACTTTTGAGCCCTATATTCGGCCAATTCCAGTGTTCTAGTTGACAAAAATCATATCTATTTTGCTAGAACTCCATTTTTTCTATCGAATGAGTACAAGAAACCACCCAGTTACCTATTTCAACTATCCAGTAAAGTGGTCAGAAATTGGCAATTTTGCCAATTTCACGCATATTTCAGAAGATGCCAATTTCCAAATAGAGTCCAGAATAAACAAGACAAACATTCCTGGCACTAAAATAATATTTTCTCTGTTCATTAGTCACGTCCCCGGGCCCCTCTTACATCTCTCTTGCTTTCCACTTTGAATTTTTATTCTCACAAAAAAATAGAAGATTTACTGTTATGCAGACCACTGCATTAGTGTAGAAATGGTATAAATAATATCAGCACACTTGTGAAAGAATTTTAGACTCACCAGTTGACGTGTATTGGACACTTGGCATGATTTGTTTACTTTTGAACTTCGGTAAAAATCAAACATTTCTGCTACTTTGAGCTCCATTACAAGGTACTTTTCATTAAGAAACCAATCAAAATCATTTCAATTTCTGTAATATGTCTTCCATTCTATAAAATGAGACAAGGAAAACTAAAATACAACCATAACTACCATATGAAAATACACTGCAAAGTCACTGTTTTAAACCAAAAACACGGTTGGAGTTTTTTTTTTTTTTCTCATTATGCACTGTGTGCTGTAGGATTTTTTTATACTGTGCACACTGACCACATAGACCCATTCTTTCATATGTAGGCCTACCAGCTTTCTCTCATTAGATCTGAAGGCGCTAGAATTTAGGCATACTAGTACGTCAATAACCCTGGTGCATAAGCCGTACTAGTACGTCCAAAACCCTGAAAGGGTTAAAATAGCACCTTTGTTGGGTTTTCTAGCATAGCTTTCGTGGTTTTTCTGGCTGCTTCTTTGTATCACTTGATAGAATGGAAGACATTCTACTAAAATTGAGATAATTTTAGTGAGCTGCAGGACTGGAAGTAGCCTATCAGCCTCAAAGTAGCAGAAATATTCAATTTTTATTGATATTCCTGAGGATGAGAAAGGCCTCCTTTACAACCCCCTGTTCTGTTTTATGGGTTTTTACTAGGTCTTCCTCAACTATTTTGATGCAGTAAACCATGACAAATTATTCCTGATTATATTTCACTATCCAAGAAATAGGGTATATCTTTGATTTTTTGTGTATTCAAAATAGAAGGCAAGTGTAATATAGGAGAGGCTTAGGGAACATGATTATTGCACAGAAGAAATAATGTTTTAGTGCCTGTAATATCTAGTGTTTATTTTGGACTGTTTTTAAATTTGATTTTTTTGAATTTTGCATAAAATTGGCCAAATTACCAATTTCTGTGTACCTTATAAGGTAGTTTTGATAGCTGAATGGGTGGTTTCTTGTATTCACCTGATAGAATGGATGGCATAAAGTAGGATCACGCTTTACAGCACTTCGATTTTTTTTTTTTTTTTTTTTTTTACACAGGGGATTAGCTAATACATTCAAATTATGACCAAAAATTCGTTTATACAGCTCCCCGATTCGCTTACAGTGTCCACATGCCACTCTGTTTACATCCTCCATGAGCTCCGTGTCTCTCGATTATGTCTGGAAACTTCCCAAAATTTCAAGCATTTTAAAGTTATTGTGTATTTTATATATACTCTGATAACTGTACTTAGGTGTACCTGAACCTAAATAAACTTAAACACTGTGTTGGTATGCAGGTACACATTAAAATCACTAAGCATGTTTCACTAGTGTTGAAGATGCTATAATAATAATAATAATAATAATAATAATAATAATAATAATAATAATAATAATAATAATAATAATAATAATAATAACTTATATAATTATATGTAATAATAACACCACTCTCTGTTCCTTACTACTTTTTTTTATTATAGAAAATGCAAGGGATAATATACAGTAGGGCCTCCATTTTACAGCACATTGTCTTACAGCGTCCCGCTAATACGGACATTTCAAATTATGACCAAAACTCGCTATACGGCTCCCCCCACCTGACATTCTAATACAGTCACCGCGCCCCACCCAGTTTGTTAACATTTTCCATGAGCTCCATGAGCACCATGTCTCTCCATTATATCTGGAAACTTTCCAAAATTTCAAGTGTTTAAAGTTATTTTATGCTTCATATACATACATGTATACTCTGATAATTATATTTACGTGCACCTGTACTTAAATAAACTTACACACTGTGCTGGCATGCAGGTACACATTAAAATCACTAAGAGTGTCTTATTAGTCTTGATGCCATATTAATAATAAAAATAATAATAATAATACACAATAATAATCACTCTAAGGTGCATTAAATGTCATATATTACATTAATGTAAACACTTTCATTAATCCATCTATGATATTTTTTTCAAAATTATATAATAAACAAGCTATGTAACATATACAACATGATAAATACACCCCACAGTAGAAGTGGAAGTGGAACAGAATTCTTCCTCCGTAAGCTACGCGTGTTGTAAGAGGTGGCTAAAATGACGGGAGCAAGGGCCTAGTAACCCCTCCTCCTGTATAAATTACTAGATTTAAAAAGAGAGACCTTCATTTTTCTTTATGGGCCACCCTGCCTTGGTGGGATGTGGCCTGTTTGTTGAAAAAAAAAAAAAGAGATGTTACATGTATGAACCAAAACCAGACGCATTCGTCTACAGTGGACCCTCAGTTAACGACGTCATCGGATAACGTAAAAATTGGATAACAACACGTTTTTGCATCAAAATATTGGCTCAGTTAACAACAAAGAACTCGGTTAAAGTCATTTGTCCCTAACGTGTCTACGTGGCCTGAGCAGCCCTGCCACTCCATGTACAGCCAGTGTGCCATTGTTTACAAGCCAGTGAGAATGATTCTACTCATGCATGTGATACATTTTGTATTATTCCATTGTTTTTAGTGCTTGTAACTGCTAAATAAGCCACCATGGGCCCAAAGAAAGTTTCTAGTGCCAGCCATG